CAGCATCTTCATGTTCTGACAGCGACAGCGTCTCCATGTTCCAACAGGGTTCAAATGACGGCTGTGAGGAAAGATCGACAAATAAAACAACGCCACAGGGAAATTCAAAAAAATGCCGGAAAATATTATAGCCAGAAAATCCAACACTATCGCACCCTCTATTGCATTGCACTGTCAGAGCTCATCGACTACTACAGATCTGTCGGTAAGTTTGCCGAAATTGTCGGAGAGGATTGTACTCACCCCAACTTCAGTAGCCGAAGTGCTTTACAAGTTGCATTGCATCGTTCACCATGATGGATTCATTTTACAACAAGATAGAAGCACGCAAGTACCCTCCTAAACTGGACATGTAGAATCACTAATTTTATATAACAGGTGATCTACTTGAGGCTGTCATCGATGCTAGAACAACCAAGGGCCCAGGAGTTGTACAACTGGCATATTTCAATACGGTGAGCAATAATATAGCATTATAGATGACTCAAGATGTACTGAAATAACAGGAGAATGGAATGTCGGAGTTCTGCTCAGTAGAAGAGGTAGAAAGACCAAGATGCTTGAAGCTCACAAAGACCAACATCGATGACAACAACCGAGAAGAAGTCGTACTGCGCATTCAGGGTATCATTTGTGGTTCAAGCCTCCCACCGGTCAAACGGCCGTTTAAAATGTAAGCATATCCTAAGCTCAGATGCCCAAACAAGTTTAAGCCTCATAACATAGTGAGCCAAAGCAGCGAAGATATATCAAGCAATCGTTAGCCTTGACAGGACTTGGGGCGATGAAATTTTATGCCATGATTGAAAACATTTATGACATACAGCATGTTTTTGAGAGATTGCTACCCCACAACACCATGGAAGAGTGGGTTCCCAGTTACTACGAAACATTTGAAGCATTGGATATGGGCAACCGCTATTTCACTGACCGGTGTGACATAAACGGTGACACTCCTATTTCCTTCAGCACTGAAATCGACCCTGACAATATACTTACCGATGCATTGTCTAACAAATTTGTTCACCTCCAAGAAAACAAGGTTGAATACTATGAAGCGCAACAAGGATCCGATAGTGTTATACGGTAAGTAATAGAGTTATAAAACAATTATACATTCAACCAATAGATTGCAGATACTACAAAATCAACCCAACGAAGATACGAACAGGAGACATTGTGGAAGCGCAGGTATCGTTTGTTGCCATACCGCTTAAGCAGAAAAAATACAAGGTACTGGTGGTGCTTCGAGCCATCACTCTATTAGATTGCAGTCCACTACGAGTAAGCCTGCCTCCCCAGATTATCCTACACAAAACAACACTTATGAGAAACAGAACGCAAGTATTGCGCGTCGCATGAGCCGAGGCGCTGAACCGCATCGAGCCAGCCAGTCTCTAAAGCGGAAGATTGGATACGAAGAGGATGAGGTGCATAACACCAGGGAGAAGTTGAGCAGGATGCATCTGGACTGAAATAGGGCGATAATAACTTACGCAGTGCATTGTTGATATGATGATCCATGTTTTGATGAACAGCCTGCAGCCAATTTGCGTGATTTCAAACCTTGCATGCTGCTGATAAACAAGCATCAATAACATTGGAATCAAGCTCACACGTGGCATCTGTAATTGGAGAAATTTCCCCAAGCTTTGATGGCATATACCCCACCACCCAAAACGATGACGCACATTCACTTCCCAATCACATTGATGGGAAGTGAATGTGCGTCATCAGAAGGCACAAGAAGCAAGGAAAGGCACAAACAATGATGTACATTCACTTCCCGATCACATTGATCGGAAGTGAATGTGCGTCATTTCAAGGCACAAGAGGCATTTAAAAAATCTGATGTACAACTATAAATATTTGTGATCAATGTCATTGCCAAACAACAATATGTGACAATAGGAACCACTGAAACCTTCTGCAAGGTTTTGGCAATGTACCGTCATTCGTTTACCTTCTTCTTGGGGTTCTTTGGATATCACATTCATGCTCACATCTGATACCACCCATAACACACTTGACATAGGAACACGCAAAATGCCTTGTCAACTTGATCCGCCCACAGGTCGCATTGTTGCGTATTCGGTCGGTGGGTCAAAGTTCATATCCCATGGGTGCCAGATGAAATGATTACAAAAGCATTTAGTATATATAATGAAGGAAGAATCAGTCATGGGTAATGAGGACCATCACCGTCCTTGTTGATGTTGATATAGATGCCCATTCAAAACGATATGACTTGTGTCGGCTATATAATGTGCCTTTAACCGGTGATGACCATTTTGAGCAAGAATCCGTGCCATCACCAGACAGTTCACACGGTCAGTAATACATTGTAGTGTTGACTACAAAAAACGCTAACAGAAGACTACAAACCCTGGACAAAGTCTTCAAAATCCCAGACCGTGGGAAGCCATCAATTTTCGTGGGAGAAAGGCTAAATTCTGCGTTAGAATGCTGAAAAAATCCTTGAGATACAGGGTAATAAACGAGTCTCTTCGTAAACTCAGAGGACTCGTAAAGGGGTTCAGACTGGTAAGAAATATTTGAAGTGTGTCAGACTGGTAAGAAATATGTGAGCCAAGTCAAACTGGCCAGAAATATTTGAGGTGTGCCAAAGTGGCAAGAAATGTTTCAGTGGTGTGACATCGCTCGGATATATTCTAAGCATGTCACACTGCTGAAAAATCTTTTAGCTTTGTCACATGGCTCAAACATATCCGACCAGTGTCACGGGGTATCTGGGGTCCCAGTTTCAGAAAAAAAACTTGGTTTTTCTGGTGCAGTTTTCTCAACAATTTATATTTATTGAAGTTACAATCACTTCAGTCACCCACCTTGACCAAGCTATTAGCCTTGTAAAATGTAAGAATGTATCCAGGCTAATAGGTTGTGTGACCATTTATTTTTTTGCCTTTGGGAGAAAATATAATATTGGATTGGGTAGAATATGTTTGACCTTTAATATTATGACCAGAAATGTTTGGGTACATAAATTGTGTTCAAAAATATCCTAGTCAAGTGAAAGTGGTCAGAAATGTTTGAAGGGTGTCAGACTGGTAAGAAATGTTTGAAGTGTGTCAGACTGGTAAGAAATTTTTGAGCTAAGTCAAACTGGCCAGAAATGTTTGAGGTGTGCCAGAGTGGCTAGAAATGTTTCAGTGGTGTGACATCGCTCAGATATGTTCTAAGCATGTCACACTGCTGAAAAATCTTTTAGCCTTGTCACATGGCTCAAACATATCTGACCAGTGTCACAGGGTATCTGGGGTCCCAGTTTCAAGAAAAAAACTTGGTTTTTCTGGTGCAGTTTTCTCAATATTTTGTACATTGGTTTTTTTCCCCTCAAAACTCATCTGAGTTTGTTCTCACCAATACCCTGCTTCTATCTGCCATGTTCACCAATCTCAGATTGTCTTCACCAACACCCCACTTCTAAGGTAGACGACTTTCATAATCGTCAAACGTCATGTGACCAATGTGACAGCTGCTAAAAAGGGTAATGTTTCACAAAATTCGACTGTATATATAATTCTAGGGGTCCTATTGTACCATAAGAACCTAGCTTTTGTAGATAAATATCCTGGACACATGAATCAGTAAAAAAATTGGAACAAAGTTCAGTTTTGGTAAAGGAGATAGAAAAATACAGTCACCATTAGTATACAACTAATTAAGCCCCCTTGCTGTCATGTCGTGTCTCCAAAAGCATTTTTATCTACCTCATACTCGCAGTTAGGTCCTGAAGATTCATGGATGCATATGAAAGAGGCTTAGAGGCTTGAATGGTCAGTAGGCGGCATGGTGCAGCAGTGGCGCCTGAGTGTGGCGTAAATACAAGGGGCATGGTTCTCCCAGATAAGATATCATGAGGGAACTGGGAAAGAAGGGAATTGTTCAAACCCATGTCACACAACATTTAGCATACTTATCTCATTATCTGATCCAGCACTGTTAATAGTCTGTTATATTAAGTGTCAATTTTGAAAATGCATAGGCTCAGTCAGTTTTTCTCCAAGTTGCTCAATTTTTTGCAGAGGCATTGACATTAAGTAGATCTATGGAAACTAGGTCCGTACTGCATTCAAAATCGAGTAGGAAGAGCTCAAATTATTTCTCAGTTGTTTTATTACCTGATTTGATCAAGATGTAACAGTAAAGTAATGGCACGTGACGTTTGACAATTATGAAAGTCGTCTACCTTATCAGTCATGTTCACCACTCTAAGGTTGTTTTCACCAACACCCCACTTCTATCTGTCATGTTCACCACTCAAAACTCATCTAATCCCCAAAACCCCTGCTCAGTGTCTCTCTCACCATCTTTCTCTCTTGCATTGGGCCTTGTCATATGATTCCATTTTTTGACCACCGTCTCCTCCACCTCTGCCTCTACTTCAGCTCCCAGATCTCCAAGTGCATCTTACCATCCCCCCCAGTCAAACCCCCACATGTCTTAACTTGTAGACCAAATCTGAAAGATATTATGAAGATTTCTTAGCCAGGCAAACATGTGGAGTGAGTGAGAGATACTTCACAAATTTAAATATTTCTTTGCAACTCAAACATTTCTTAACCTGTTAAAAATATCCAAAAGATAGCATAAAGATTTCCTAGCCTGGCAAACATATCTGCACTTGATGAGAGATATCTGACAAATATTTCTCTAGAACTCAGACATGTAGAAAATATCCAAAAGATATCATAAAGATTTTCTTAGCCAGGCAAACATATTTGATCTTGATGAGAGATATCTGACAAATATTTCTTAGCCAGGCAAACATATTTGAACTTAATGAGAGAAATCTCACAGATATCTCTTTGGAACTGAAACACTCTTGACTTGGAGAAAATATCCTGAATCAGATAAACATCTTTAAGAAACTTTCTTTAGCCAGCCAAACCTTTCTGACTTGATCAGAAATGTTTCCCAAGATATATTGGGTAGCCAAACATTTCTTAACCTGACAGAAGTCTTTCTCCTTTTATAAAGATTTCCTAGCCCAACAAACATTTCTAAACCTCATAAGAAATATTTCACAAAGATTTCTTGGGAGTCCAAACATTTCTAGGAA